TTCGATTACACAGTTCGTCTACCATTAAAAAGGTGTACCTATCAAACTTCGATAAAATAAACCGTTTCCGAGATATTCGAGATTACAATAATTGTTATATCGCATTATTTAAAAGGATTAAAGGGTATAATATATTATGATAACAAATTTTATTTTTTAATTGAAAAAACTAAAAAACGGCGTTTCATGAGCCTCGAGACATTTTGCCCTGACCGTCAAATTAAAAAAAATTGTAGTTTTTTCAATTAAAAAAATTGTTATCATATACCTTTTAGTCCTTTAACGCGATATAACAATTATTGTAACCTCGGATATCTCGGAAACGGTTAATTTTATCGAAGTTTGAGAGGTACACCTTTTTAATAGTAGCCGAACTGAGTAATCGAAAAATTGCATCAAATGGTATAAAAACCTAACTTCAAAGTTTGTATGGGACAATAAGCTTAAGCAACCCCTGTTTCTACGACACTGCGTTCACTCGAACAATTGTAATTATGCGTGAATATGTGTTTTGGTCACAGACCACCAAAACAAATGGACGGATTTGTTTACGTTTAAAAAGCGAGTAAAGCATAGTTTCACATTCTAAACACCGTCGAAAGAAACACGGCTTCCAACGTTGTCAGAAGTATAGATTACACGCTTTTTCGGACGTTTATCATAACATAATGAACATAATTACCAGAAATTCGTTTAAATAATAAAAAAATTGTAAAAAGGATTTGTTCATCATTTTCTTTAGATATTTTTCTCTATTTAAAGAAAGTAAATCATTTAATAATTATTAAAATTAAATATTAACAACGTTGGTAAATTCGTCATATTTGACAGCATAGAAAAAGGTTATGTTCTGTGGGTTGACAGCTTGTTGTTTTGTGTTTTCGTTTGTGTATTTCTATCGTGTTTAAGTTAATTATGGAGTTTAAATACATTATTTTTTACTAAAAATAACAATACATGGAAATATCGTTTGTAAGTACCTACCTACTTATTTTTTTAATCCCAATACGTCACTGGAAGAAAACATAAAATTCTATCGCCAATTTAACGCTTAGACTGTGACCGTTTGATGACGTCACTGGAAGAAAACATAAAATTCTATCTCCAATTTGACGCTTAGACTGTGACCGTTTGTTAACCGCAAACAAATCATTGTTATTGAATGGCAATGCGCCGTCCATTTGTTTTGGTGGTCTGTGGTTTTGGTAGTAAGTGACTGTTCGCAAAATATCACCTTTCCAAGACCACCATAGTGGAAGTTATATTAAAAAAACTGATATGATAAGTAACACTTTATCACTCTGTATCTTTTAAACATACCTAATTAGGAAAAATATGTATTTAGATTTTCGTCTTATTTTGACTTGCTTAATCTGCTCCTAAATTTATGCCACTAAGTTTAGGGACACCTTGTATATATATATATATATATATATATATATATATATTATATCAAAATGTTGACAGTTCAGCAAAACAAATGACCATGTTATACTTATAATCGTGTTACTCACCATGGATACAAAAAAATAACATAAACATTTTACATAATCAGCGTCTAAAATTCATTTTTTTCTCGACATCAGTGTACGAATATTATCGACTTGGCATATTGTTCGTATTATCCTTTAAATAAAATAAAAAAAATTAAAAGTCAATTTTTCTGAAAATGTTACAATTTTTTCGGTCAGCTCATTTTTTTTCGGAAATTTTAAAACCCCAGTCTACGATTTGCTTTCTATTTGGAGTGTCTATAGAGGAAACCTAAAAATAAAAAAATAAAAAATTTCATAATTTTTTATAAATTTATGAATTTGCGGATTTTACAGTATAAACAATGGAAAGTAGTGAGTTTCTTTTTTTTAATAATTCCAAAATTAAACAGTAAAAAATTTTCAAGCTACCTCGATACAAAAATTATAAAAAAAAAATGAAAAATTAATAAATAAGTTGATATTTTAAGAGACTGCAATTTTTAAAGTATTAATTTTTTTAGTGCACTCAAAAAGATAAAGTTACGATATAGATAGGTAAAACCGGGGAAAGGTACCATAGAAAATATTTTCCCAACTTTTTTGTGTGGGGCTTTAATCAATTTTGATAAATGGAAAAATTTTGTCCCGTTTTTAAGTAAAATCCCTTTTAAATAATTATCTACTCTTTAAAGATGATCTAGTAAAAAAGCAGCCACCAATATCTGTAGTCCACAGCAATTGGTATCCCGGACATTTAACAGCCAATTCTTATGTAAAATTGTCCCCTGAATCCAAAAATACCAATACCAATAAGTTTCTTATTTCAAACGAAACTACCAAACAATGTTCACATCATTCGACACAATATAAGTTTTTTTATTAAAATATGTGAAAGAAAACGCTTATTTTTATTGGTGATAGAAGTGTTGTTTATTGCAATATTTTTATTTTGTTATTATTTACTTGTTTACGTTAAAATGGAACAATTGTGCCATTAAATTTTAAGAGTGGTTTTAAAAAAAAGCAGAACATTTAATTGACAAACATAACTTAGAGATATGCACTTCGACAAAATTGCATTTTTTTCCAATATTTACTGCACCAATTTGAGTGTTTTCTTTCTTCGGTGACGAATGTCTGTTTAATCAGATTTATTATGATAAGTTCGTTACTTGGTGTCATATATTTTTATTAATATATTTTAGAAGGTACCTATTGTGTGGGTTAAATTTTTGTCTTTCTTAATTAGCTACATAATTATTTAAATTACATAACCAAATTTTCCATGACCTTCCAATTTTATAAAATTTCGATTACGGATTTAAAAAATATTTTACTTTAAAACGGGGCACAATAGGTTCATGGGGCAGGAGTATCTTTTTTTTTCAAAAACTTTGGGTTAGTATGTTTTGTTATCAAAATGAATAAAACCTCCACACAAAATATTTTCCTTAGCTCCCCCCAATTTTACCCGTCTATGTGCATTTTATATCCCTTAGTAACTTTATCATTTTAATAATAAACATTTTAGTGGGTGTACTAAGTATTATCTTTGGACGTTTAGAAAATATTTAACAAAAACCATCCTCAGCACAACATTGTATCTGGAAAACCAATAATTTTTCGGCCTATGGTTATATGAAGTTTTCTTAAGTTTGGGATGCTAATCTAATTTTTAGACACCCAGTATGTAAATAATCACTTATGTTTGTTCAATGCATTTCAATGAAATGCCTTCTTTAGTAAAAAAACACACTACAAGCTTGATAATAGTTATTTACTTGTCAAGCTTTGTAAATGAATCTTTACGGGCGAGCCGGAAGTTTGTGCGAACCCCATAATCCAGTGAGCTTAGTAAAGATTAATTGCAAAGCGTAACACCTACACAAACTTTTATTTTCACCTTTAGATAACGATTTTCAAATTTAAAATTTCAATTAACTTCCTTGCTTAAAATACTCCATAGATACCTATATAAAATAATCTATCGGGCGCTACCGGATTCAATATGTGCATTTGTCCATGATTTTTCCCTATTGAGACCCATAGCAAATAACTCAATGAAGGATATAAGGATAGGGATATACCTATAGAACAACCATAAAACATTTGACAAAATTTTATTAAAACCTATGGGGTCCTATGGGGGACTACATTTATGTGTATTTTCCCCATTGAAAACAATAGCAAATAAATCAAGGGTGGATATCCCTATAGAACAACCATAAATCCCAACTATGGGTCCTATACATACCGATACACCCTATAGAAACACCATACATTCCGATACAAATATCTATCGGTTTGAACAGGGTGTATATGGAGTATTTTAAGCAGGGTTGTCAAATATGTCATTTTATTTCATAAATTGCTTTTCTACAAGCCTGTAAAACTTTACAGGTCTTTTATACAAGCCCGTTAATTATTACAGGTATGTTCCCATAATGTATCGTTTACTTGGATACAAAAACAACAAAATTAACCGATAAAGTGTCATTTACTAAGAAGGTGGAAATAAAAACATTTACCGAAGTAAACAAATTTTATTCTTGAAATGTATTTTTGGACATCTCAGATGTAATTTAAATTAGAGCCTAAACAAATCGCTGGCGACATTTTATTTATTTGATTTTCGTAAACCACATAAACAGATGAAGATTCTCTGATATTTTTAGACCTCTCTTATAAAATCCTTTTAAGTACCTAGTGTGATTTTTCACATTTTAATAATTTTAATAATTAGTGTTTTTTATGCAAAATTGTTCAATTTCGCTCAAATTTTTATTAAAATGTTTTTTTTGGATAAATTTCAATATATTCTTTTCTTTTCAACCTAATATTCTGACTGTCAGGACCTGACAAATACGTACATAAGTAGCTATGTATGTTTCCGAAAGTGGGTTTCTTGTTTGTTTGCCTTTGGTGCAACAACGGTTCGACGTGGGCTGTAGTGTAACATACAGTGTGACCCATTTGTTTACGACTTACCCCTGTAAAATCTTATAGTAGGTAAAAGGCGTAAGTTGTGTGGGCTCATAACTCTTATCCTATCTTTCACGAGTGTCCAGCTAAGTGCCTGGAGGATAGGCAATCCAATTTGGGAGCGACCAATATCCTCCAGTACCATACAAAGGTACAAAGTTTCAGGAGACCATCAAGAGGGGCCCTTCTTCCTCGCGTTTATTGCCAAAATGTTTAAGAGGCATATTTTTAAAACTACTGCACCCACGTTGACACCCTTTGGCAAACTTGTTAAGCCCTTTAGGTCTTTGAAAAGGCGGTGCTTTAATTTTGCATATCAGTTCATTTAATTTGTCATTTTTCTCAAGCAGGTCTCATTCTTGATGAGATAAACCTACAGATCCCTAAAACTAAACCTAAATACCTAATATGACATTAAGCGGATAAAGCAAATAACATTATTTGTAAGATTTACTTATTATTTATAAATTTGAATTTTAAATTTTAATAATTGTTTTGTTTTAAAGTTGAAGATTTTATTACTTACACCCGTTTAAATTTTAGGTGCTATTCCCGAGGCTATTATACGAGGTTGTAAAAAATGTTCAGAACCCACCAAAAAAATTGTGAAAAAATCAGCAAACTACATTATAAAAAATCGACCCGGAGTTTGGACCAAACTTAAGAAACATTTCGATCCAGAAGAAAAATATCTTGAAGATTTTAACAAGTTTTTAACTTCTTAATAAATCGATTTTATTGTAATTAAGGTTTGTCTTTCAAAAGATCTAAAATATAAACTTAAATTACCTTTTGGATACCTTTAAATATTTTACGACATGCCTTTTTTGTTCATATATGATTTTAAATGGTAAAATTTTTAAATACAGTAGGTATAATATTTTAAATGGTACACTTTCTAAATTTATTTTTTCTTTATAGGTATTAATCTTTTTTTAAATAGTTTTTTTTACCTACCATCTTAAATGTCGTGCGTTTAGCGGGCATGCCTATTTAGGTTCTAAAGAAAATAATTTTCTTTGTGAAAGACATACCTTAATTAAATTATGTAAGCACAGATTTATGTTAAATCTTAATATGCAAGAAGGTATTTAATTCTACTTATATTTTTTAAATTTTCGCTCCTTACTGCCTAAATATATGTAAATAAAAACCATTAGTATTTTTTTATTTAATTTTATAAATATAATGTAATATTTAAAAAATCACAATACAGTTTGTTTTATAATTTTAATAAATAAATATCTATGGATAACTTAGAGTTGGTCGTGGTACTTTTGAAGATAGATTCCTTTACTGTCGTATTTGTCTTGAAGTTGTTTCCAGACGTCCTGTTTGTTCTTAATGAGGTAGTCTATAATTTTTCTTGTTCCACTTTTTTGGTTTTCGTTACATTTCGAGCAGCCAGTTTGTAAAGCGTCAGGAACAACCTCTTAAAATAAAAAATATGTTTTTAACTATTGTCAACTTATATATACCTATATATATTACCTATAATACTGGTTAAAAGAAAATAGTCATTTTATAATAATTTAATATTGTTTTGTAATATTTATTTTCTTAGGTAAAATAAGTATCCAACCCCATTTTTATAAAACCAAATTGCATGTGCTTTTTAAAAGTACAAAGTCAATTGACCTGAACTAATATTTTGATTTTTTCAATCAAATATAAATATTTAAAATATCGTCCTAAATCTAAATAATTTAATATAAAATCTAATATCACAAATATTTTCTTATATTATGATTATAAAAAGTTGCCTTTTGCAAAAGGCAACTTTTTATATTCATTTTTCACCATGGTCATCAGGAAAAAATAATTTGGTGATTTGCATTAAGCGCAACATTTAAAAGTGCGTTATTTCTGCTTTTAAAATAAAAAAATGCAAATTTAAATTATCGTATAAAATGCAATTTCTAACCTTTGGGTAAAATATTATTTTTGATTTTAAATGAGATACGTACAATTAAATTTGCGCTCGTTGCAAATGGAGTAAATTTATATGTAGTTAGAACCGGACTTAGGCAGCCACAGCATGCATAAATAAGCAAAAAAGATTTTTTTTTAATTTTCAGGTAATATTTGATCTTTCTTCTTTACTTTTGTTATTTATTATTACAATAAAAGTAAAAAAAAATGGGAGAAAAAAGAAGACCATTCAAAAAAAAATTAAATTAACACAACACATTAGCAATAAGCGAAACAATCAATCGCGACTTTTATTATTATTATTATTATAATTATTGTTAGTGCCAATTTTAATAACGGCGATTTTAAAACGCTAACGCGATTGCAACTTTAAATAGTGTTTTTTTTTAATTATTTTTATACCAGTTGGTAAATGGAGAAAATCTTAAACAGAGATGAAACAAAAAGCTATTATTTATTAAATAAATTTTATTTTTAAAAATTAAGCCGATTTCGTTTATTCTTAAAAACTCTGTTTTTGCAATCGCTTTTATTTACAATATTAGGCAGTTGCTATTTTTGAGTAACAGGTATTAAATCACCGTTAGCTATATTTTGCTCATCACTAAAACATATACATATTTCAATATAATTTTTAACTACCCAATATTTAAAATAATATAGTTTTATCAGAAAACAGTTATTTTAGTTTTACTCTCTAAAATTGAATTAGTCAAAAATTACTAAATACTAGAGGTACCTAAATACCTAAATACTAGTGTTAACCATGGGATACCGTGGTATCCCAAAATTCTTATGCAATATTGTAATATTATATCTCAAAAACTGTTTTACTTTTTTAACTTTTGACGACATTTTCTGATTCAGGGGACAATTTTACATGAAAATTAACTGCTAAATGTTTGGGATACAAATTGGTATTGACGAGAATTATTAGTGGCTGCTTATTCGCTCAGTGGAAAATGTGTTTTGGGTATTTTAAATTCGATTTATACATTCCAATTTTTTTTCTATTTAATAAAAATGTGCTCTCTAAAAATAAATTAGTCAAAAATGACTAATTGTCATATATGACAATTAGTCATTTTTGACAAATTCATTTCACAAAATAGAAAAAAAAATTTGAATGTATAAATCGAATTTAAAATATCCAAAACGCATTTTCCAATGAATTATTTTATCGACTTGTAATCCCGGGATTTTAATTTTGTTCGGGATTTTATGTCCCAGAATGACAAATTTTATTTACATACAATTTGAAAATAAATTATAATAAAAAAACTTAATCAAACTATGGTGTAAAATAAATTAAAAATTGTATACATACTTTTAAGTTCCGAGCCATCGGGAGTGCAGTGTCCTTTGTCCAAAAGACAGTTGGTGTAGTTCTTCAAAAGCCTGTCACTTTTTAAAATTTCATCCAAATCAACGTTGTCATATTTGGTGGTGTATTGCCCTGGTTTGGCAACAGCGACGGCTACGCAGGAGGCAGCAAGTAAAAGCACAAAGGTTTTCATGTTGAGTTACTTGTCAATTTTGATTTTAAATTGGTATGTTTTTATTTATACGCATTTTACGCAGGAATTTTTTTGGTTATTTTGGAGGGGATAAAGCGGTTTCAAGAAGTCGATGATCTATTTTTTTGTTAGTTTTTACGTCAGAAATTCCACTTAGACTAGCTTTTAACGTGTAGATAAACAAGTAGTTGTTTAATTTTTTAATTTATTCATGGTTTTATTGCATAAGACGGTATCGTGACCATCTGATAATTAAATTATACAAAAAAAATAATATAAAACTACATTAATATTATTAATTATATACATAATATTATTTAAATAAGTTTTTTTACCCTTTGGTTTTTACAGATTGTATTGTATTTTTTAAATTATATTTTGATTTTTTTATGACAGAAACAAATTTACAAAATATTTAAAAAGTCTTAATTATGTCAGTCCATTTACCCTAAAAAAATTGGTTAAAATGTACTATTTTTTTTTGTCCCAAAAATGCTAAACTAATGACCGCGGGATACCTATGTCTGTAAAATATAAAAAATAATAAAACGAGTTTTTAAGTTATCAAGCATTTAAGTTTAAACAACTTGACAACGCACATTAAAGTACATTGTAAGCTAAAATATTACACATGAGTGTTATGGAAACAATTCAAATAAGGCAGCTGCCAATTTGTGTCCAAAAATTTTATTAGTTTAAATAGGTACGTAATTTTGTTCTGCATAAAAAATGATTTAAAAAATAACCAGTATCAAATTAATAAAATAAGAAGCAAATAATAATTATTCCCCAGGAGTCCGACTGAACCTCATCTTGGCCATTAATGATTTTTATAGAAAAAAAAAAAAAAAACGCGATAACGCAAGAAAAGAAATGTGCAATTTGCACGCTTTGGAGCATATTTGGTTAGTTTACAATGTTGACATATTAAAGTAATCACAAGCAGCTACAACTTTATTATTTTCGTAAAAATTCAACGATTATTAAATAGTTGTAAGATCAAAAATTTTTTGATCTTACAACTACTTGAATTTCACAAAATGGTGAATTTACCCAAAAACATGTTTCTTATTGTTTTCGGCGTGATTTACATGAGGTTTTAGATTTAAAACCTCCATTTAGAGTCGCTAATAAATTTTTTTAGGAAAAAAATTTCGAATAAAATTGTTGAATACCAGTGTTATTTAATAGCTGATTAATTTAGTTACTATTAACAATATTAAAGACATTTCATTGGGCGACAATGCTAAATTAATTTCTTTCGTTATTAGTAATAGTAGGTATATTCATTACTAATTTACTTTCTAGAGTGCCACCATTAAAGACGTCCAATATAATACAAACCAAACCAAAATAAAATCAATCCAGGTATAAAAAAAGACATTAGGAATCTATTAAAACAATTATTTTCAATTTATAAATTATAAAATTTATAATAATATAATATACACTAGCCACAAAGGCGCAATTGTGGATATTAATTACCCGGTAATCCACTGTCCATTACTAACAGACATTTTTTTAAATTATATGTACATACGGCATTTTAACTTATTTTATTATAATTTAATTCAGTGATTTACAAATTGGTTAATGTACATTTACGTACCATTATAATGATTAGAGTTGTTGTTAACTGCAATTTGTTTAAAATTAATTCGTAATAGTAAAACTGTATAATCAACTACCAGCAGAATGTATAGAAAAAGATCCCGACAAACAATTGTCCGTCGGCTGCTTGGCGGCTGATGGTCGACAAACGATCTTCTGACATTAGGCCGCCGGTGGCATACGACGTCGGCCCGCCGTCAATTGGAGACAGCGGGAGTCGGATATTGATTATCGTTTTCCGACGTTAGACCGCTTGTTTTACCGAGGTATTTATAGTTAGCTAGCGTGCGTAAGCATCGGTGAGATGTATTGCTTATACTTCGGACGTCTAAAATCGATTATAATTTGCCGACGCACATTGGTCGGAAACACACAAAAAGCTGGCCAAAATTCAAATAGAGAGCGAATTTATTTGAAAATAAATACCTTTATATTTTTGGGGTCCGAGAATTGCAATTTGAGGTCAAAATGATTGAGAACAAGATGGTTATCAAAAAATGGCTGTTTGTTTTTGTTAAAAATAACGTTGAACCCGTAAAAATGAGTATTATAGTGTGTTCGGAGGTCAAGTTATATATAACTTGTATACAAATTAAAGGTTACAAAATAAAAAAAACATTTTATTTATTTATTTAATTTAATTTAATATCAAATTAATTAAATTAAATTATTTTCTAAAATAGAATCTTCATTTATAACTATTTCAACATCACCCGGATATTCCACATCAAGCTCGTCATCATTGTACAAGTTGGGCTGCACGATTCACGCTTACCTACCTTGTAAGGGTCCTTAAAAAAAATCGCCATTAGACGCTGCCAAATTTTTAACATTATGTTAAGTAACTTGTTAACTTTGTATTTTGATAGAAATTATATCGGGGCGGCGCGACGCATTTAAAAAAATGTGTTTCATTTACTTTTTTGTTGACTAAACGTTACTGAATAGATTACTTTAAAGTCACTATTATAATACATCATGCATGAATAACACTCAGCTGACAGCTTGTCTTTTTAGGTGTTTATTGCGTCACCCATTACGTCGTTTTGACCTGTTAGATGACGTGGAATCGATCAAAAATTCACGACGTCATTTTTATGACGTACCTATTGTAAGGTACACTATGTATTTTCGTAACCCGATTCTTTAAGTATACCTACTGAAATACTTATTTTGGCATATTCGTGATCGTCTAGTTAATTTACTTACTTTATAAAAATTAGGACTCTACGTTGTGTATTTAGGTACTTACATTGATAATAACGATATTTTGAAATTAGTCAGGTTTAATGAAACACAAGTATTTAATTTGGAACCCCTGATTTAATTTAAGCAAAGACAAAGGGGTGGCCCGTTGAGTCAAAGCACAGGGAAAAGGGACCATAAAAACCCTGGCGACTTATACAGTTTAAATAAAAATAAAATACAAAACAAAACATAGTTATATGGGTCATAATCACAAGAATACAGTATAAATAATAAGTGAATAAAATAACATAAAAAGCAGATAAACATATTTCATATAATTTGGGTGTTTTTATCAATATTCAAAACATTTTGTACTCAGGTAAACTAGTTATAATAGAGATCGTCATTTTATGACGGAGTGTTGTAATATTTGTTTACCTTAACACGCATCTTCGAACTATTGAACGAGGATACGATTTTATAAAAATAAACTACAGCAACGACACATTTCAGATAGAAATAATTCAAATGCTTTAAAGGGGAGAGGAAACATGGAAAAAATTTAATCTAGTGCAGATATTTAACCGTAGCCAATAACCACACTATGGGACAATTGCATACTCTGTGAAGTGATATAACGTAACCTAATGTCCCTATCTCACTATAGTATCCCTATATCACAATATGTTCAAATATCCTCACAAAATCAAAGTCCAGCACAAGACAACAGTATTATGAAAATATACAAACAATTCTGCACACAGAGTTTATAAGTAGGTAATAACATAACGACACCAAATGTTCCTATCTCACTATAGTGTCCCTATATTACCTATGCTCAAATATTCATGTATGAACACCCTCCAAACAAAATATAAAACAAATACAAAACAAATAAATATGCAATAAAATAAAATAATGTAAAATACAATACAATAAATAAATGGTGGTAAATATGAGAGTGTCATAACAAAAACATACAAGCATAGGTAATATCAAATTTAATAATAATTATAATAGCAATAATAATAATAATAATAATAATAATAACAATAAACCTTACCCAAATAATACCAATATTATAATAGTAATATAATTGATAGAAAATTTAGCCTGAGTACAAATGCAAAGAGTTAAAATAAATAAATACCTTAATACCGAGATGATACACTGAGTTTCATAAACAATAAAATACATTTCAGTTAAAATAAAAGTTATAAAAAGTTATAAAAAAAACAACTAAATCAAGGCCAGTGTAACTTAAAATAAAGACAATACAAAATATTAAAATTTAAGTTAAATGTAATTCAGTGGATATGGTGAATGCGACAACATAAAGATTGGAACTCAGTGTATGTGCGATCCCAAGATATTAAACCAAAATAATGAAATAGTGATACAATAAAAATTATTACCAAAAATCACTCGCTATTTACACATATTAAAATGATTAGGACCCAATAAACTATAGTTGCTATAGCAATGATAAACGTCATAGACCAGAATGCGAATTAAATAATATTGTTCAAAATTAACAGCAAAAATGTATGAAGAAAACCCAAAACGAGGAGTTGTTTATCATTACTAGCAAATATTACAATTTATAAAAGTGTACATACCTAGTTATAGAGGAAATCGGTAACAATCACAAAAACTATAGCTATATTATAATATATTTCACAAACTGTTTAACAGGAGTATCTCGAAGAGCGAGCAAAAACTCTCTGTGTATTCTATTTCCTAATCTAGCTTTTAAAACATCTCGGCCACTTAAGCAAGAATGTGTAACATAAACAAATCACCCTAATATTTCTACGATCAGATACAAAGAAGTAACATTTTAAAACTCAATAGGGTTTTAAAACATAAAATAACTTAAAACTATAATATTATTTTTAGTGGATTATTTAAATTTTCCTAAATAGCGCCAAATTTGAATTTAAAAGTTTATGTACTACAGGACCCTTACACTATGTATCGATTTTGGGAGAGCACAAAAAAAAAATTCGGCCACACCCGCACGAGCACCTCCGATTCGGCGGCTCCGAATTTTGACGAGAGCGTTTGGCGCGAAATTTAAATATTTAACTGCAAATACATTTTATTATTTATTTACGAGTTAAATAAATACTTTGTAATTTCTAATATATTTAGTGTCTAGCAATAAGTTAATAATATATACGATACGATCTATAATAATACTCTTTATACATTTATCAGCTGCATTTTAGTGATGTGCCTGTTGGTTTTAGGGAAAGGACAAAAAGTCAACAATGTACAAAATTAATTTAAACATTGTTTTATTGTTATCACTTTAGGTCAACGTAATGTCGACGTTGGAAAATGGTGTATATGGTTGGTCTGAGTTGTGTCGTCGTAGAGACGTCGATCTAAGGTCGTCGTCGATCCTATAATCGACGTTTATATGACGTGACCATGTCAGCTGGGCATAAACCTCGTATTAAAACTTTAGCATACGTACCTTTAGCAACTCGCTCCATGTATCGTCGAAGAAATCGCGCACTTAAACAATATCTCAGTGGCGGCTGGTGGATTTTGGGTATACCAATATTAGATATGGGACCCACACCAAATTTATAATAGTTTATAATGACATTTTTATTAAAATAAAAAAATATTTAAAATGGTATAAAGCCTGTAATATTTGGATTTTTTAAATAAAATTTTAAATTTGTTTATAAATTATAGTAGATTATAAATTGCACCACTTTAATTTGAATTATCTCAAATAGGGGGGCCTGGAGGCGGGTGAGGCGACAGGAAAAACTAACTTTTTTTCGCAAACTTCAATATAAATTCTGTTTGCGCCGAACTTGTTTATTTAATGTCATTATAAACTATTATAAATTTGGTGTGACAAATTGAAAATTTTATTTAAAAAATCCAAATAATACAGATTTTATTCGATTTTAAATTTTTATTATGTATTTTATTAAAATAAAAATATTTAAAATGGTATAAAACCTGTAATATTTGGATTTTTTAAATAAAACTTTAAATTTATTTATAAATTATAGTAGATTATAAATTGCACCACTTTAATTTAAATTTTCTCAAATAGGGGGGCCTGGAGGCGGGTGAGGCGACAGGAAAAACTAACTTTTTTTCGCAAACTTCAATTTAAATTCTGTTTGCGCCGAACTAGTTTATTTAATGTCATTATAAACTATTATAAATTTGGTGTGGGTCCCATGTCTAATAACTGGTAATATTGGTATACATAAAATCCACCAGCCGCCACTGCAATATCTACAGCATCTTTAACAGAGCGTAAAATTTGACGTTTCGAAACGTCTCGCTCAGGTATGGTGGTAGGCCCCCTTACTCGCTTTCTCAAAGCCCATGGATAAAACATAGCCACATCTTTTTGGCATTAGGTGCAGGAATAGCTTCTTTATAGAATACCGTATTTTGTTTTACGAAAAAAAAACATTGATTTTTCAATTTTTGCCAGCTTTTTCCCATTTTCCGACCACTGTGCTACATTTCTTATCAATTTTTTTTCATTCAAATTGAGTTTTATCAATGTTAAAAAATAAAGTATGCTCACTAAAAAATTTTGTGATAATTTTTAAGACATTATCTACCTCCTTTTCTTGTAAAGTACTTGATGTTTGGGTTACAAGAAGCGACAAGTCATCGGCATACATTGTGAAGAATTTATTATAGATATTTCTAAGTAGTTGATTAACATATAATAAAAAAGGATTCGTCCCATTGTTACTTTTAAATTAGCAGATACAAAATTGTTTCTACTGATACTATCTGAATGAGTTACACATACATATTGTTAACGGTCACTTAAAAACGAACGAATCCAGGATAAGGCATTCCCTCTAATCCCGGAATCTTCCAATTTAGCAAGTAATATAAAGGGTGATTCATTTAGACCTTTTTTTTTAATTCTAAATTAAACCCATAAAATGGAATTGGATGGCGAAACCTTTATTATGACCTGAAAGAACAATCTTTGAAATTTATTTTTTGAAAATAATTTCATTTAAATGCTGGCCGCGACTATTCGGAAGGTCCAATTTTCGATCACTCTTTCTAGCATTGCGACCGGTATCTGCCCAATTACGCGAGTAATGTTGGCTTCTAAGTCCTGAATCGTAGCTGGCTTATCAACGAAGACTTTTGATTTAACATGACCCCAGAAAAAAGTCCAAGGGTGTGATATCACACGATCTAGGCGGCCAATTAACAGGTCCAAAACGCCAAATTATCTGCCCACCAAAATGATTTCTCAATAAAGCTATTGTTTCGCGAGCTGTGTGTATATATAGTATATTTGCAGTTTTTTCAGGAAAATGCAACTCAAAATAGTACATAATGCTAAAATAGAACAAAAAAACCTCATTTAAATTTTTTTCGCCGAGAACTTTCGCCCAGGATACATTCATAAGACTCACTTCAAATCCCTATCCAAATCCCATGAGCTTGGCGCACAACTTGTATTTTCATAGTCTTTCGCGATCACTCAGTTCTTTAATCTGTGACAGATCCACATTTGTTACGTCTACTACGTTAATATTATATATTTCCGGCTCATCTGGATTATCGTTAACTTCTACTTTCGCGAAAGTAACATTTCCTCTTTTTACTCTTAATTCCACCTTGTTTAAAAAGTCTGTTTCCAACAATAGGCCTCGTTTTAAAATTGCACTACTAACTACATGAAACGTATTAGGGTATTCTTCCCCATCGACTATAACTCTTGCGGAAAATTCACCCATCATTTCATTACCGATAGAGCCAAGTCCCTCGAATTTAACCTTGCGGTTTAGCAGCACAGGTAATCCAATTTTTAAATATTCGTCTGTCCTCTTAAAAGTTAGATCGCTGCCTGTATCTACAAGCGCCGTAAACTTTTGACCCCCTATCACTACGTCTTTCATGTATTTTTTATCCCCTGGTCGCGACACAATATTTGCTTCTTTTGCTTTTGTGGGACAAACTGTTGCTTTGTGTCCATGTTCTTTGCATTTGAAACACTTGACACCCTTGTCCTTCACTGGACAGTCTGCACTTACGTGATTTTTGTCACCACAATTAAAGCACCGCCTCGTTTTTGTCGCTGCCGCAGCTGTCGTAGACACTGTCGTCTTCTTTTGAGTTCCTTTGCTGTCGTCTCTCCGTTCTACAACTTTCGCTTTGTTCTTCATTTCTCTTTTCATACCTCCATATTGCAAAAATCGTCTTAGCTCCGTATAAAATAGACTTGTTAACCGCATCGTCTGCGATTCCTAGAAGCTTCTATTATGTACTGAATTACGGACCGATTTTCGACCTTTGCCGGTGCACCGCGGTGCCGCGATTTCCAGCATTTTATAGACGTACTCCTGGTATGTTTCGGTCTTCTTTTTTTTTCATTCTTGCAATTTTGCGTGAATTCGATTACTATCTACTTGGTCGTCAAATTCATCTCTTAGCGCATGACCTGTTGCGGATATTAGGCGCTAACCTTTCTTCATCTTCTTCCTCGTGATGGGCGTTTCACTGACTGTTCTCATCCCGCTCCTCCATCTCGTCGTCGTGTTGCCCGTCGTCTTTGGCGTCGTCTTCTTCTTCGTCGCCGTTGTGACCGTCATCTTCTTGTTGGTTTTCTCGAACCCCGTGATTTAAGACGATCCACCAGCTCTCGCTTTCTTCCCGACACTTGTAGTTGACGTCGTCTTAGCTCTTATTTGAGCTCAGGAACTGTCATGCTGTAACGAAGTTACTTTTTTCCTATTCCTACCCTGTGTCATAGAATCTCGATCCAAATGATTAAATCACGTAAGTCATAAACGACCCCAGGAATAGCCCATATGTAGCATTACCACCGGAATGACCCGTATGGGAGTCTACGCAGACAGCAAAGTAGCCCGATTGTTTACTTGAGCGATATGCAGAATTCCAATCCCCGTTTTTTGTAAAACTCGACAACGTACAGCTACAGCCAAAACATGGAATCTGCAACAACGCTGACCTTTAACGTGATTGGTCCGGCATGCTGTCATGATTGAGACGTGTGCGTCCCGCCATAGGAGGGAGACCAGAGTGCATATAAGCGAAAGCAGCGTCTCCGGGGATCATTAATTCTACAGCAGTCCCTACCAGCGAAAGAATCGCCGTCCGACCGCCGACCGTCCGACTCCCGCTGTAATTAACGTAAGTTGTTTTAATTAATCTTTTGTGTGTTTCAGAAACTCCATTTTTAATTTACATTTATTTATCTGGGACGTATACTGAGCATTCAGTTTCGGTTTTATATTTTAGTTTCGCATTATTCATTTTCTCATCGTTTATTGTAAAGTCATATTCCATTTTATTCATAATTTTATTGTTTTGTACATATGAGAGCTTATTTCAATATATGTATTAACCGAAACACACCATTTATTTATAAATTACCCTGAACCCTGGAATTTTATCTCCACTGTTTATCTTAAAAGCTACCCTCATATTCAGTGGAAGTTGGCGCCCGAGATTTTATTAGAAAGTCCGCAAGGTAAGTGACGCCAAGTTTATAAAAGGAAAGTTTTCCCCCGGGAAAATAAAACACCTTTTACAATGCGAAGCACTTGTTCGTCTTCGATATCTACCAACACTCCATTTTTGTCGTATTTCATGTTTCACTTGTTTATTACACTTTTCAACTTCTTACTAGCGAATAACCGTTGCTAAATCCAATTGAGTGTAGATCCCGGTTGAGCCCCCAAAATTTGTAGGGATTTAGTTGCTAGATTATTTTTAAAAATAAGAAGTCCGTAAACTTTAAAGTAAAAATAGTCGTTTATTAAAAATATAAAGTTAAACAACAAATAAAACTAAATACACCGACGGTCGCGTTAAATCTGACTTGGGTACTATTACAAATCTTTGGGGTTACTTCGCATTTCCACGCATCTATCTATCTATCGCATTTCCACGCATCATCTATCTTTAACGAACTTTTACGTTATGTACACTTTCGGAATTGAAGTTTGATTTTACTTTAGTTCTTTGTAAAACCAATCTTGCCAGAGGTTCGCTGTCGTAACTTAAATTACCATCTTCTTGGTTATTCTCTTCAACTTCATCGTCAACATATTTATTTATTTTAGCGCAAGCCTTAGATGATTTACGTTTGCCGAAGTAGCCATCGTCATCAGAATTTTCTTCTTTCTGAGTCAAATCCATCATTTAAAGAAGTAATATAGACATCAGCAAACCAAAAGAATTCACTTTCAACTAAATCACTCGAGTGCTATAATATCTAAAAAAAATATATCGTACCCATTCGTTACTAATGTTCCAATAAAGGAACATCTCCCAATATAATGTGTTACTTTAATACATGTAACATAAATGTAGTACAACTAATATATGCATTTCAAATAATAATAAAGCAGTAAATTTTACAATTATACTTACTTTTTGGACGCCATAAAGTTAGGTATTAAAACTTTTTTTAAATTTACGTGTTAATCACACAAAAACTGACATACATTTTATGATACCTTATTAAATGCTTTACTTAACATAACCAAAATGTTTACCGTACGAAATAAACTGCTGCGTAAGCATCTGTACACTGTAGGTAACTTTATCCGCCTGTTAGATAATCTACTATTACAGACTCACAGTCAACAGAAAAAAAATTGTTTATATTTAATTGCGAGTCTATGATAGATATCCAAGGTACATTTATCGGTGCTCATTTGTCGGCGCTATGGGTTATATTTTACAAATTGTAAACAATGTATTAAAAAATTTAACCTTCGGTCAAACATTCGGAAGCCTACTTCCTACTAGAAAATTTGGCGATTTACAGTAAGTCTGTTAAATATTCGGCTTCGGCTAAACCTTCAGCTCAATTTTAGCCGAGGCGAATATTTGTCTAAGGTGGTATTTTTGGCAGAAGCTTCGGTTGGAAACTAAAAATTGTATTTACTTAACTTATCTATCATCTTGCCCCCTGGCCCATTGGCTGGCGACGCCCTTGTTTCTTGCTTCCAGTGGAGGAAAACGATAATAAATAACACATAGTATTAATGCATATTATTTTTAATTTTTTTTAGTAAAGTTATGACAGGCAAAAAAATATTAAAAAGTTAATTGTTCCATTTATCAAAATCTGCCTGGTGCATTTCCTGGTAAAAACCTTCTGGATCGTATTTGCCTGAAAGTTTCTTCCAAAAGGCTGGCTTGTTTCTATATAAGAATTCGATTACTTTTCTGGAACCTTCCTTTTGTGTTGCGTTACATTTTGCACAATCATTCATAATAGCTTCTGGCAGCACATCTAAAAAACATAATAATTCATAAAAAAGACTAGTTTACATTGTTAAATATTCTTACCTCTTAAATATTTAGCTTCCTTAGTATTGCAAGGCCCTTTTTCCAACAAACACTTAAAGTAAACATCCAAAAGTTTCTCGTTTTTCAAAATATCGTCCAAATTAATGTTATCATACTTTGTGTCGTATATGTCCGCAAAAGCAGCAGCTACAAAGCAAAATACTAAAACAATTGTAGTTTTCATTGTCACACGTCATCTGTTGTCTTTTCTATGCACAGACTGTTTATATATTAGCTTTATCAATATGTTGATGAGAAGTTAATTACAAAGAACATTAAGGTAACATTTTGGTAATTATAAAATATTATATAAAAATATATAAATTTTACATTAAAAAGAATTTTTAAATATTTTTTTATATTGTTTTTAAAAAATTATAAAATTGCTAATTTCAAATCTAAGTAGATCCGTTGTTTATTTTGTTTCCATAATAACCGTTTACTATAGCATAGTATACTTTTTGGAATTTTTTAGGGTGCATATTTTATACCACGATACACAAAAACCGGTATGCTGATGCGCATGTTATAGCTATCTCTCTCGCACCGTGTGACGTCATGTGCGAACCAAAACCTAGTGGGTAACTGGGTTGGAATGTTATTTGCACTGCAAATTCACGTTATATTCGAAAATGTATAAATATAGAAACAGCCTGGGTGCAATTATTAGGTGTAACAAATAATAAGAAAAAGTTAAATTGGCTGCAAGCGCTTTTAATACTTATGTAACATACTTTAAGCAATAAATTAATAATTTGGATTCGGGAAATTCAATTGGAAAATTTGGGAAGCGCCCAATATAATTAGTAATAGGTAATTGATTAATAAAGATAAATTTATAGATAATTTATATTATTTATATCTATTTAGTTAATTGCTAGACCTATTCCTTTTATTCATTTTATGGGTATTTTTCCTAATTTATTAATCAAGTGAGTTTTAATAATTACCACTAAAAATGTCATTCATTACCATATATTAATTAGGTAGGTTCTATATCATTATAATATAATAATATATTATACGGTTTAGTATAAATCATAAATATAATGACTAATAACCTATTTATCAATGTTTGATAATTATAATTATTATGCATTCATATAATTTTGCCAAAATTTAATTCCAAATATGAGCTTGTTAAAATAATTAATTTTTATTCTTACAATTTCGTGCATACGTAAATTTTTTGTTTCTTCATTATTCGGTATTCAAAATCGTTTTATTATCCAGACATGGCAGGAATTTAAAATTTTCGTTGTTGGTATGGAGGTGATAGGCTCAAAAACAAAAACCATAAAAAATTTAATCGCTTTAAATAATCCACAACTCGATATTTGTGTTGTGCCACTTGTAAATATAGCCACAACTTGTTCTGGCTAACTTATAAAGACCAAAACGCTAAATTTGCATTGTGGATTATTAAAAAAGACAACAACACGCTTTGGACGTTTTTTTTCTAATATTTTATATTGATTTATTGGATATTTACTACGTGTAATGGTACATGGTAAATATAATGAGGTTCATTGTGATACAAATTTTTAATTACGATGCCAATAGAAATGCAACATTAAAACAATACTTCCTCAATATTAAGTAGTGCTATGAGAATCTAATAGATACCTATAAAATATAGGGGACAAAGAAACTATCAGTCTCAAATAGTTTTATTATCTCTGGGTCCCAGAGTCTGGGAACACATTTTAGAAATTATAATATTTAAAAAAAAATTATTATTATTATTAAAATTTTCGAATTAATGTGGGTAATTATAGTCACTAAGTGGACGCCGACAGTCGTCATCACTAGAGATGGGATATTAAAAAAAAAATTTAAAAGTTCATGTTTTTTTTATAATTTTGTTTAGCCGCATACCAAAACACAGGACATACCCACAATAAACTATTTCTATGCAACTGTGTTTCACTGAGTGACACTCACTGAGTGACACTCACTACACGAAAGTTCTATGACAGAACATAAGCTCACTGCAAAGAAGGTAACTATAAAGAAAGTTACTGTTACAGTCTGTGACCATAAAAAAAATTCTATACCGTTGAGTTGCACGCCCTGGATAAAATATTGGCGCAAAATTTAAAAAGAACACAAAAAAATAAAATAAGTAAAAATACGTAAAAATAGGTAACAAATAGGTAAAAATAAACTGACAAATTAAAAAATATGTAACAAAAGTATAAAAAGGTAGTTTAAAGCAAAAACCTCCTAAAAAGGTAAAAAAAGTGAAAATAAGTTAAAAAAATTGATAACAAAAGTATAAAAAAGGTAGTTTAAAACAAAAACCCCCAAAAAAGGTAAAAAAGGTGAAAACAAGTTAGGTTCATATAAAAGAAAATCTTTTAAAACACATTTTGGCATTATTGGTTTTCAAATATTTACATCGGTTGAAAAAAGGTAAAATAACTAAAATCCCATCCCTAGTCATCACATATCCGATTTAGGCTGACATCCGACTCTGAAAAGGTGTTTTTTCTTGGAACATGCGTCTTTTGGCTTTATTTACTACCTTTTTCATCAGTGACTCTCATTTCTCAATTATACTAATATATATATATACTTATATTTTTATATATTGTATATATATATATATATATATATATATATATGTATATATTAATTTTGAATATTGAATCTTATTCCATTTACAAAGAGTTGTATAAAATCGATTTTTCTGGTGTTAAAATTTTAATCTTTAATATTAAATAATATTCAATAATACATAAGGGTCAGTTTTTTCTTGTCATGACGGAATTGTATATTCTGTAAGAAGTTTGGAATACGGCATATTCCGTTCGAGTGAAAAGTTTGTCACACGAGCCGAAGGCGAATTCGACGGTTTTACGAGAGCGGAATATGCAATTCCAAACGTGATTTAGACTATACTTTTTCTACGTTTCCAAAAAATACCATAGAAAAATAATTTAATTGGGAGAAAGTAAGGTTGGATCGGTCTAAAATGTGTTAGATATTAAACACAGAGATGTCGCCACCAGTGTTTATTCCGTCAGCCGATGATAACATTATTCATTCTGTAATACCATTGAGTAAGGAAGTCCTTACTCAATGGTAATACTTTAAGGAATATATGTCATTCCACATTAAAAAGTAATATTAAAACGGCCAGTTATACATGTATACATAAAGGAAATTTAAAGAAAAATATAATGTATTCTATTAGAAAAAAAAATATTTATTCTTTCATAAAAATTTTATTTATTAGTATAAAACAATGAGTAAAATTAATTCACGAATTATTGATTTAATTTATCGAATTCTGCCTGGTGGTTTTTCTGATAAGTTCCCAGTGGATCGTATTTGGCTGTAAGTTCCTTCCAAATGGCAGTCTTATTACGGTACAAAAATTCGATTACTTTTTTGGAACCATCCATTTGTTTTTGGCTACATTTTTTACACTCATTTATTAAAGCTTCTGGTAAAACCTCTAAATAAAATAATTAAATAATTTACTACGAAAATATTTACTAACATTGTTCTTACCTTTCAAAAACTTAGCTTCTTTGGTGTTGCAAGGCCCTTTGTCCAACAAACAACTCGTGTAAACATCCAATAGTTTTTCATTTTTTAAAATATCGTCCAAATTAATGTTGTCGTATTTAGTGTCGTAAAGATCTGCAAAAGCAGCAGCTACGAAGCAAAATATTAAAACAATTATTGTAGTTTTCATTTTGAAAAATTAACTGATGTCTTTTGAAATTACAGGCTTTTTATATACTCATTATAATTAAATTTTGATGGCGATGCACTTTAATCGCCTTGTTTTAAAAACTGGTTTTAGGAAATTGAATATAATCCATATAGGTACCTATCTAATGTAAGGGATGGAATATGTGTAATATTTTTATTTGCATAGGTACATAACATGTAATAAATACATGTGTAATACACATTGTGTATATTTATAAATAAATACCTCACATTTGTATTTTTTTACTGTAAAAAATCTTGCCTAAAAGAAATAAACGCGTCCGAACGGTTCCAAAAAAGTATACTTTATACGATTACGATTATAATCGTACCATAATAGGCCTGCCATTTAGAAGGAACTTACAGCCAATTGCGATTTACAGGGAACTTATTAGAAAAACCACCAAGCTGAATTCGATCAATTTAATCATTAATTCGTAAATACTGTTACTCAATATTCTATACTAATAATTAAAAATGTAATTCAAGAATAACTATTTTTTTAAATATCATAGAATCCATTATATTATTCTTTATACTTTCTTTATGCATGCATGTATAACTGCAGATGGCTTAGTCCTCAGTAGAGTGGGTCGAAAAAAATAAATATTTATTTTTTTGAACGCTTTAGTAAGGAAAAGTTGCTTATTGTACTAAGAAAAAAAACGACATAAAAAATGTAAAATCGGTTAACACCTTCCGTTCGCGCATCGTACTTAAAGTTTATGAAATATTGCAAAAATCGCTCCTTTTTTGTAAATATTTTAAGTCAGTTAAAACTTTTAAAATAAATTTATTTTTTATGGTTGCTTTATGGTTTAAATAAACTAATTAAATTAAATTCTGATCAATAATTTATGCTTTTCCGTTTGCGCAATGTCTTGGAATAAAACAGAATTTTACCAATTTTTCGCAATTTTCACTGTGCAACTCTTCGCTTGTTTTGTTAGAACAAAACGACCCAGAACTCACCACGTGGAGGTGGTTGCACGTCGAGTTCCACCCACACCCTACCCAACCAACCACCCAATTGTTGGTAGGATTCCTTGTCTGACTGTGTTTTTTACTTACTCATATCTTCTACACATTTAAAGTCTGATTTTTTAGAGAAATGAGGCATAACCGATCTAGACTTTAGTGTTGCTCGGATATAGCCATCTCTAGCCTCATGTCCACATACTTTATTCGAGGCCTGTGTCACAAGTTTGAAGCACCTCTCCACAGCCTGGGTGTGACAGGGAAACTTTTGTATTTCTCTGATGGGCGTACTTTTAGAATTGATTAGTGATTTAATATCATCGTCACTTAGGTGCCGCAGCAATGGGGGAGGATAAATTACACAAGAATTCCAATTAATAATTTTAATGTAATCGGAAGCTTGAAAGTTTATTTATTTATCTTCTTCTTTGGGACGGTTTGCCTTGCTTTTAAGATCCTTCTGTAACCTAGCTTCCGAATATGTTCTCTTTTATCGACAAGCATTGCTATCAGAACATTCTCTGGGTGCGCAAAGAATGCATTTCGTTGTATTACTGGATCGACAACTTGAAGTAATTCGTCGGATAAATACCGTGATGTTTGAATAGCTTGAAAGACATGTTTTGGTCCGTTAGTAAAATATTTGTTTTTTTTTATGGCAAACCATACAGGCACGTATGATTTTAAGATGAAACCAACTATTTCTTTTAAATTTTCGGATGGATATGATGAACTTATATACAACCTAAGAACTCGGTTGGCCGCAGTTAACCATCTGGAATGGGACAAAGGACCAGGGTCCCGATTTGCCAAGTCTTCTGTCCCAAGGTTATTGCATTTGAAATATCCAACAAATACTGTTGGTCTTTGCTCAACAAATTCCTGTCTATATCAGGAACCGAACAGTCTATGGGTTCATAATAGACAACAGGAAGTTTTTCACAGTTAGTAAACTGTTGCCCGATTGACCCACTAAAAGTAGTAGGCCCTGCAGTTTTACCGTCAATATATTGAAAAATGTGGCGAAAAGGAAGCTCATTAAAATGCAGGAGGCATATGCTCCACTGTAGCGGGCGTCCAACATGATTTTCTAGCCGGTGTATGACACCATTTTTCCATCCGGTGTTGATTACAGTGCCATCACATCCTACTACTTCTAGTTTTTCTAGTAACATTGATAGTTCAGACAAACGAGATATAATGCTTTGAGTTATATTATTTGATGAACTCGAGGAAGGAGATACATGTCCAATATAAGTTGATCCAGCTTCCTGGATAAGAGAATAGTGTTCTTCTTTCTTACTCCTGCGAAATTGCTTGGCATTTAACTTTTCGACGAAAATAGTATCATCTTTTCGTCCGTCAATCAGGGGTACGGCAGGGTAGAGGGAAACCAATCTAGTTTTAGGCAGTTCTGTTTTGTTTTGTTCTACCAAAACGAACCAAGAGTTGCTCAGCGGAAATTGCGAAATATTAGCAAATTTAGGTTTTTTTAAAGACGTTGCGCCCACTAAAAAAAATAGATTATTGATCAGAATTTAATTTACTTAGGTTATTTAAACCATAAAACAAGCATACAAAACTAAATCGTAGTTATTTAAAAAGTTTTAACTGACTTAAAAATATTACAAAAAAGGAGCGATTTTTGCAATATTTCATTAACTTTAAGTACGATGCGCGAACGGAAGGTGTTAACCGATTTTAATTTTTTTATGTCGTTTTTTTTCTTAGTACAATAGGCAACTTTTCCTTACTAAAGCGTTCCAAAAAATAAATATTTATTTTTTTCGACCTAGTCCTCAGTGCTTTACTCTTTTTTGTGCTGACGATTTTTGCGAGGAATAAACCACTTTAAAATCTTAAAGACCAACGTTCAATGTTAGTGGACGTTGTGTTGTGATTTTTTTCCTTGTCAGTCATTATCGTCGTTATCAATAAGGCTTAGCGACGCGTTGCGCTTGACTACCCTTGTTATTGATAGCCGTTAATTCGTAAGCGGTTTACCCCTCGGATTTTTGTACTAATATTTACTAAATACGTTAAATTTTTAGTAAAAATTTAAATTTGGCTAAAATATTGTTTTTCGTCATGACTATCATAAAATTACCGTTTTTTTTTATTTTGATATTAATTAAATTTGAAAATCGACGTAATGGTTTAATTAAGGAGGGCAGAACCCCAAAAAAATAAAAATTTAAATCGAGAATTTTTTGAACAATTTAGCTGATTTATTATTTTACATTTTCGATTTTTTTAATATCTTAATTTATCAACAAAATTTATTAAATAATTTAAAACATTGTGTTAATAATCTTTTAAACCATAAACCAGTATTTATTTAAAAAATCCAGACCCATTACCTTGATATCGAAATTTGATTATATCTAATAAGTATCTATATAAAAAGCCTGTGATTCAAAAAGACATTAGTTGATTTTTCACAATGAAAACTACAATTGTTTTAGTATTTTGCTTCGTAGCTGCTGCTTTTGCAGATCTTTATGACACTAAATACGACAACATTAATTTGGACGATATTTTAAGAAATGAAAAACTATTGGATGTTTACACAAATTGTTTGTTGGACAAAGGGCCTTGCAATACCAAAGAAGCTAAGTTTTTAAAAGGTAAGAACAATGTTAATAAATATTTTGGTAATAAATTATTTAATTATTTTATTTAGAGGTTTTACCAGAAGCTTTAATAAATGACTGTAAAAAATGTAGCCAAAAACAAATGGACGGTTCCAAAAAAGTAATCGAATTCTTGTACCGTAATAAGCCTACCATTTGGAAGGAACTTACAGCCAAATACGATCCACTAGGAACTTATCAGAAAAACCACCAGGCAGAATTCGATAAATTAAATCATTAATTCGTGAATTAATTTTACTCATTGTTTTATACTAATAAATAAAAATGTTATGAAAGAATAAATAGAATTCGATAAAATAAATCATTAATTAATTTTTTTCAATATTGTATACTTATAAATAAATAAAAATGTAATACAAGAATAACTATTTTTTTGAATATAATATTTTTCTTTATACATGGTGTTATGTAATAAGTTGTCATCCCTTGGGGGGATAACAGTTCACGCCAAATTAAGCAAGTTTTCGTCTATCAAAAGCAAATGCATTAGTGCTAGTACTTTTTATTACCAAAATCAAATTCGCTTAATTATAATTCAGTGTCTAAATTTAAATTTAAAGTTTAAATCATGACCTACCTAACGTCAAGCGGTTGGGTTTGACAGACTAAGTAGAGTCGGTCAGTTGTTTAACTGTGGTTCTATTGTTACTGCTGTCGATGATTTTAACGGGCTGACTATTATACTCCAGCATCAAAAGCTGTTGATGTCGCAAACGAGAGTGGCTGCACAAGAATTAGGTAAATTTCCATGATTTTTTATTTAAAAATGATTTTTTTAAAATTGAAAAATCTATTTTATACAACATTTAATGTTTGTAAATGGAATAGAATTTAACAAATTCACAATTTTTGGAAACCTTGACTAATACATTCTGTATATAAACAACTTATTTTTTTAATTTTATAGCTAATTAGCTATTATGATGATTATGAAAAAATTGCCCATTAAGGGTAAAACCAACCCTATTTTTTTTCAAATGCAAAGGTTTGTCAAGTAATACACCATTTGTAAGCTCGTTCTAATAGGAATTCATACGAATATGTAGTTTTAGTTTTTTTTATTTTGGCACGTTAAAAAAATAAAAACAATTTTTATTTGAAAGAATTGCGTTCCTTTTTCTGTATTTATATTATTTGGATATTTACAATGTGCAAAAAATTTCTTTAAACTATAAGGTTTTTAAAAATAGTTAGGACAAAAGACCTTCTTTATATCCAGCAGCATATTCCACAGAATACTTTGTACATAATACTTAAGTTCTTATTTAAATATGTACTTGGTACTTGTACTTGTAAGATTCTGGTAAAAGTGCTCAGTACTAAATATATATATTTTTACAAGTACTTT